GTGAAAGGAAATATCACTAATGCCAATGGATTACTCTTTTTCAATTACTTCTCTCCCTTTCCCCTTTACGTCATGCCCTGTTGTCATCTGGATCTTCAGATCTGTGGACAGCTCCTGAGCACCTCCGTCATGCTGATGTATCTCAGAAGGGTGATGTGTACAGCTACGGGATCATTGCCCAAGAAATCATCCTACGCAGGGAGACCTTTTACACTAGATACTGCCGGAACAGCAAAGGTAAGTCCAGAAATTCCTCCTCCATTGCAGCCTTCTGGGATGATGTAGCTGTAACCGGCCCATTCTTGAACTGCTGCTTCTTTCACTGTGTGATGAATGAAGAGCCTATTTGAAGGATCTGTGGGGGCAAGTGTCCTTCTTTCTGTAAATAAAGATTGCATTGAGATTTCCTGCCCTTTTTCCTCCCTCCTGCCCTTGGCCACAGCATTACAGAAGTTCACATTATACAATGCTGTCCAGACTTACTGCAGTATTTAAAGGTCACAAAGGGTTTTCTATTATGAGTTGTGCACAACATATAATAATTCACTCATATTAGGCATTGTAAATCAGCAATGTCAACAGAGAACAACAAAAGCTCAGCAGCATGACACAAGAAGAATTGGCATTTAAAAACTGGCAATTCAGACTTTATCAAGCCTGTCAAAATTAACTTTAGTAATTTAACTTCTGTCAGAAAAAGCATCTCCTTCTGTAGTGTATCCATTATGCCTCTTTTTTGTGCACTTTGTGACATTGTTTTTGAGTGGCTAACAGCCCAGCCAAACCCAGTTCCCAGAATCCAGGCATTATTATATACTAGAACTGACATAAGAACATGTGTGGGTTTGGGATTTTCCTAGTGACGGTTACCAACAACAAGTTTAGATGTTGCTTTTACCTCTGAGTCATTCTGATAGAGCCACGTTATATCTGTTAAAACATCTACAGCAGCAGCTGGACAGCCTAATAGCTCTTTTCCTGAGTTATATTTGAAAGTAACTTCTGATTATCCTATACTATGGCAAATCTATGCTCATATTTGGGGAAACACAATATTTCACATCACCAACTCTTTAACATAAATGTAGACCTAAAAGAGATTAGAAATGCCTGTTCCCCTTCAAGCAAACTCTTCAGGACTCCCTGCTTAAGATAAGGTAGAGAAAATAAAAGTCTTTCTGTTCCTTTTAATTGGAAAAAGGCAGGCACAATCCTCATGAATGCAAAGATGTTGCAAACATCACCGAAATAGATGGAGAAAGGAAAGAGCAATGCTTTTCCTTGCTCATTTTGACTTGCAAAGCAAATCCATAGCAAGGTGCATTCTTTAACTGTTTGTTCAGCAGTTACAGTCTTCTGTGTTATGGCTGTTAAGTTAACCCGAGACACAGTGTTTCTGGGCTCTTCTGAGTTACGGTGGCATCCACACTGCTCTGTGTTTGACCCTGGCTGTCATAGTCATAATCTGGTTCCTTATTTTAACTTGGACCTGTTTCTTAACACTGTATTTTGTCATTTTAGAAAGACTGTCCCTTTCAAATAGCATTAGGTTAATCCACCCAACTGAAAGAATTTTTAACACCTCTAGGTGCTGTTCCTGGAGGTGGTCACACATATCAGCATGTTTACTAAGACAGTAATAAACTTACTGGGCATGAAGCCTGCTTGGTAAGTCTGGATGCAGTGTAACTTAAAAAAATCTGATCTGTAAACTCCAATTGAAGTTTCAAGTTTTGCATTCAGTGAGGAGATTGCTTTCTCGCTAGGGCTTTTTCCTTAAGAACATTAGTGGATGTCTAAGATGCATATTGCTGATCTAATGGCTTCTGGTATTACACTTTATTTTTGATGATGCAATTTGAGTAAATGTGTTCAGCCCAGTTTCAGCAGTTCATCAAATTTCATGTAAACAGAAAGGAATGAGTGTTACTGTATATTGCTGAAGTGGCTCCTCATTTAAATATCTGGATTCATTCATTAGTCAAGATGAGGCAGCAGGAGAGTGGACCGTACTTATTCAAAACACCTTTGAATTTTGTTTATGACACGATGTAACTTTGGAAGAGAGTAGCTCAAACTTGGATTGAGCATTAATTTACAAATTTCTAAGATAAAAAGAGGTAAAAGAATGCCAAATTAGAGTCAATTATAATGGGCAAAGAAATGTTCCTGTTGCGGATTAATTTTATTTTGGAGTCTCCTGCAGAAAATCTTTCAATGGCTGGGCTGTCAGAAGTTAATCTCTGCAAGTTAGAAGACATGATATTGATATTTCAGGACAACTGATATAACTGCTTCTCCAGGACTTCATTGGCAGCAGCAAGGACTGTGTTCAGATTTTAGGAACTGTTTAAAAAACCCTGCACCTACCCTCCATCCACTAACTTAGGAAAATTAAACTCATCCTCCAGGTACTCAGTAAGACAGTTTTTTCAACCTGAAAAAATATATAATTCAACTTAGCATACAATAATCTTCCTACTAATGAGAGAAAAGAAGTCCCACAAAGATGATGGGCATACAGAACTGGATTTATAATATATAGAAGTAACTAGGTCATAGTCCTCTTCACTGACTTCTCTGAGAGACAGCTGTCAAACCAGCTGGTTGCTCCACTCTTCTGCAGAAACACCTCATTCACTGCTCAAGACTCTGAAATCTTATCACATACCAACACTCAATGCAAGCTGCCTCCTTCTTCCACTACTTTCTGCCACTGGCTAATTGCAGTGTTGCTGCTACTTCCACTCTCAGGTGTGTGTGCAGCATGGAAATCCAACACATTCCTTTTGCATATGTGAGACTTACCCAGATTCTTCCGTCTTCTAGCCCACAGAAGACTTCTTAGCAGTCTCTTCACTCCACGTCATTTGGGAGACTCAAGTCTCCTGCTCCTTCGCTGGCCTGCAATTTCTGTACCTCAAAGCTGGAAGTTACTGCATCTTTTTAGGGTGATCATGCACACTGGGAATGCTTAGGCATCCTTAGCTGCTCTAGATTTGTACATACCATCATTATTACAAACCTTCCTCATCTCTTTATATGCTTCCTTCAGTAAAATTGTCTCCCAAATACAATCAGACATTATTAATAAATGTGTTTCTTGCTTGTTCATGGACCCCTTTCTGTTTCTCTTTCTCTCCTTCAGAGGCAAAAAATTGTTTCTCTTTTTTAACTCCCTTCCCCTGGAACTCTTGAGGTCTGGAGGAGAAGGATGGAGAGAGATATTTTTGCTTTAGCTCTCACTAACTGTGCTTAAATTGAGTTGTGCAAACGCAGCCTGCATTCTGATATGTTCAGAATCCAAATAACTTTCACAGAATGGATTTCATTAATAAAAGTACAAAGGAGCTAACAAATGCAATGTTTTTAAACCATATACATTAATACCCTAGTTTTAAGGAAGCTGAGCATCTGCAGGGTGATTTGAACTGCTCAGATGAGAGTTGTATGTCTCCACACTTTTGATCAAGTGACAATGAGCTTTTCACATTGTTTTTTACTATAGCTATACTTCATGCTGAGAGGCACACTAATAATGCCTAACGTTCATTTGGGAAGATGCCATAACCATGTCTACCGTGACCAATAAATACTCATGTACATTCCCATTCATTTTGCTCTCAGGGGCCCTCAAGCCAGTCTGTTTTGATCTTGTGCCATATATTTAGAAAAGCTTCAAAGTTGAAATTCACACCAAAATGTGGGAACTGTCTTTAAGGCTTCTGTTTGTACAGTAACTCATAACATCACAGGACCCTATCTACAAGGATTGCTCTTCTTACATTTTTTTGTTTAACCTTTGCATCTTTTTTCCTGTGTTAGAGAAACTTTACAGAGTAGAGAGCAGCAAAGGAGTGAAGCCTTTCCGACCAGACCTGTCCTTGGAAACAGTGGGAGAAAGAGAGATGGAAGTAAGCTAATAATTAACTAAGCCATTTTCTGGGTGAAGGGTGGAAGTCTTGGCCAAGCTAGAGCTCATGATCAGGGGAGGATGAAAGTTATGCACATTTTATGCCAAATGCCCTAACCTCATGGGAAAAAATGGTTTTCTATAGTTGTTCTCAGTGAAATTAAATACAAGCCCTAAAAATTATTTCACTGGAAAGAAATAGACACTTATATGGTGCCACTATTCTGACCTATTTTAGATATCATTAAGATGAGATAAATCACACCTCAAATATACCTTTCTCCACTGATTACATAGCCTCAAAGGCTTGTTCCTTGGGTGAAAATGTATTGTAGACACCCACATATTCAGCAATGGATCCTTTTGGCTGAATCACCAGCTTCAGAAAAATCCCAAACTCAAGATATTGGAAATATAATTGCCATGGCATTTATCTCCATGTCAATAACTATATCTGGCACCAGCTGCAAGACTGGATCCATTTTCTTGCCTTTCTTTAAGTAATGGAAATTCAAGTTAAGATCATGTCACTAGTCACCACAGAGTTAAGTTTAAGATCCCTGCAATGAATGTCCTAACCATAGATTCAAAACAGTTAGTCACACATTTTAATATGTTACCGGTCAAGAGTAACCGGAAATTCCCTGATGCACTAGTGCTGTTTAGCATCATTTTCCTTCTATATCCATTACTCAAATGGACTTTCCTTAAATTTTTGTTTGAAGGTGTATACACTAGTGAAGAGCTGCTGGGAGGAAGATCCAGACAAAAGGCCTGACTTTAAGAAAATTGAAAGTACTCTGGCTAGAATATTCAGGTGAGCAGCAGGGGTTCTGTTTTTTAACATGCTCTAAACTCCTCCTAAGTGTTAGAAAGCTCATACTTTCAAGTACATAAGCTGATGTGATTATGATTCCGTCAGTGGAAAAACTGAGTGTGCCTACTTAGATCCTCTTTTATTCTTTGGCAGAAAATTAGGCAATCACGTGCATATGTACACATATGTGTACATGAGCATCTATGCCTGTATTAGCTGAGCGAGGGTAAGATGATCACCATACCCCAAATTGGTACATTGTGAAAGTAGTGAGTTGGATAATTAGAGATTTAAACCATTCAGATAATTCACCCCCTGTCTCTATAGTCAGGAGTCGAATAGTGACTCATGTCATCTAAGTTTTGAGAAATGAATGCACATAAATATTTGGAGGATGATTAGAAAGTTTGGATGAGCTGGTTTGTGCCATAAATTAGTTTGGATGGTCCTAAATTAAGCTGACTAGAAGTGCTGGGTTGCAAGTCACCAGAAGTATTAATTACAGGGTTTTGTTGGTATAAACTTGTGGGATAACAAGGGCCATAGCTGGATAAACCCTCAGGGGTTATACAGGCCTTTTACCTGGCCAATGCTGCATTTTTCTACAGAGTATGCTCTGAATTAATTATTTTGATGACCAAACTGTGAGCTTTTAATCACTTTTCTTGGGAAGTAGCTCCCCAGGTTTTAAAGCCCTCCTCATCAGCAAATTCCAACAATGCTCACATAATTTTACACTTTACATAGACAGAAGGGCAGCTGTACTATGCATAACTGAGTGTATCAGTTGAATAATTTTACTGCGGCTAAATAGAAAGACTTCCTGGTTCAGCTCGTAAGCCTCCATCCTACAAAAGCAAAGAGGTTGCCTCTTGCCACATGCAACACAGTGTTCTCCTCATGGCAAGGTCTAAGATGGTGCATCCCTGACATAAAGATTTGTGTAAAGTATGAGTAGTTTTAAAGTCCAGTTGGGTACAATACTAATCTGACTCTTCCAGTCAACCTGGCCCCATTTACTTTCAGACTGCTTTGGCCAGTGCAGGCTGCCCAGACAAGCAGGAGTTATGAATGGCTGATGTTACCATACTTCTGCTTCCAGAAATTAGTATGCCGGAGTCTGCAGGATCTTGTGAGCAAAACTATCCCAGGAACTGCTAATTGTTCCATTGAATTGTTCTGTCTTCTACACAGGCAGTTCCAAATTAATCTGTCTTAATCCTTCTGGCTGAAGTCCCCATCTAAAGGTTATATGCAATTTTCTGCAATTTTCTGCCTACTATCTTCTGCTTCTCAGGGTTTGAGCTTGTCAGTTACTTTTTACAAATGAACGTTCATGGATTACCCAAGGTAACCTGGAGATGACAATATTAGCAGGGCTAGGTGATTTAAGAGTGCTTTAAGAATTGCCAGCTTCAAGTGACAAGTGTGAATCACAGACTTTCAATTCATATACAGAAGCCCTCCAAGCAAGAAAAAGAATGACGCACTTGAGGCACTTTGCATTCTGACTACATGGAAGTCAAACAATGGAGAGGTTTTCCTTTGCTCCTTTTTTGCCTCTTTTTCGCCTCTCAACAATATGCTTCCATCAATCTTTCTTGTTGACTCCTGTATATTTCTGTTATTCACAGTAACTACCATGGCCAGAGCAATGAAAGCTACATGGATACCCTGATCAGGCGTCTACAGCTGTATTCCCGGAACCTGGAGCACCTGGTGGAGGAAAGGACAGAGCTATACAAAGCAGAGCGAGACAGAGCAGACAGGCTTAATTTCATGTTACTTCCAAGGTAACTGGCCAGGAGGATTTTCATTGGCATTTTATTTATGTATATTACCTGATTCTTGGAGAGTGGGGATTGGGATTAATATTAATCTTATATTTCCTCCACCTTTAATCTCACCCTGCTAGGGAAGAAAGAAGAAGCAGCTGTCCTTGAGGTCTCCGCCCTATGGTGGAGTTTCATGCCAAGGTGGTACTGGGACCTGTTATCTTCCTCAACTTCTCTTCATTCACAGGATTCCCCTTTCCAGCACAAACCTCTTTTTTCACTGCCTTCCTGGGAGCACATAGATCTACTGTGGTCCCACATCACAGAGCTCTGTTCTGCTCCAGCACCTTGCTAAGTAGAAGGAGTGTCTCCAGCAGGGGAGGAAGAATGCAGTTCATCTTCAGCCTGGGGTTTAGCAATGCAATAGAGGAGCTAAGGTGGGCTGGGCCATACTGGGCCAGATGAATGCTTCAGAGTGTGGTATAAGACAAGTATTATTGTCATTATAATATTGGTAATATCAGTAATTTTAGTATTGCATACATTTGGAATAGTAAAACTATCCTGATATGTCATTACTAGTTTCAAGGGTATTTAAGTCATCAGAGTATTGATTTAATCACTCAACAACAAAAAAAAACCCTCCAAACCTGTTCAATCCACTTTTGGGGAAAATTTGAAATTATCTGGCTATGTAGACTCATGCGACAAGGAATCCATGTTTCCTTCCACTCTTTGTTGTTCCTACCACTCTATTATTGTCTCATTATAGATGGAACACAGCACTGTGGGTCTCTTTTAGTTATTCTCTTCTAATATCTCCACTAGGAACAGATATTTTCCTGGATTTAGAAACACAAGAAAATTAAGGTCTCTCTGAATAGATAGACTGGCATGGTATTGAATTTTTGTTCCATAAAATTATCAGAATATATCTCATCTGAAATCAGGATGAGGTGATGTAATTATCAGGATGAAATGTGCTGGGAAAACAGAAAAGTAAGTCTGTTCTTAATTGTTGTGTGGGTAGAATGTAGGTCTACATGTCAGAAGTTTCAGAATTTCAGTTTTAAATTTGACTTAGTATCACTATTTCAGACCTTAGCCACGAAGCTCAGTTTTCTGTGCCTTAGTTTCCTCATGCCTATTAACACACTTTGCTTTTGTAAGGCTGTAGCACATTAATTAGCACTAGTAAGTGCTTTGAGGTCCCTGGCTGAAAGGCATTATGAGCATCTAAAATGCGATTACGGTGGCAGTTTTCAGAAAACTATTTGATGTTTTCTTACACAGAAAGTAATGATGTGGTTGGGTTGCATGAAAAAATACCTTTAATATTAAACACAGGGTACTCATCTGTCTTCCTGCATTCTCTATTTCCGCAGGCCAGTAGTAAAGTCTTTGAAGGAGACTGGCCTGGTAGAGCCAGAGCTATTTGAAGAAGTCACTATCTACTTCAGTGACATCGTTGGCTTCACCACACTCTGCAAATACAGCACCCCCATGGAGGTGGTAGATATGCTGAATGATATCTACAAGAACTTTGACCACATTCTTGATCATCATGATGTTTACAAGGTGATTAGCTCCACACTTTTGCTCAGTTAATGACCAGGGGACACAGAAATCAAATTGGATGATGTGGTGGATTTGAGAAACTGCCTTCTAAGCAAAGACAAAAGAGAGAAAAAAAGGCCAACACCTCATTTCAACATGCTTTTGGTGTGTCTGTTTTTACCAAATTTTCTATACTAGGTGAATACAGATTCATTAACTGGAATGCTGGGTACAGTTATAAATACTCATGTATAAAAAATAAAGGTATCAGCTACCTTAAACTAATACATCCTGCTGTCCAGAGAAGAAATGTTTAATCATGAACAAGAGGATCTGATAAAACCTTTCTGCTTTTAACTAAATATGTTTTGCTGTGTCTGGAGGTAGTGAGTTCTAATTTTGTTCCCACAGGTGGAGACCATTGGTGATGCTTACATGGTGGTGAGTGGTTTACCAAACAGGAATGGGAACCGGCATGCGGTAGACATCTCCATGATGGCTCTGGACATCCTCAGCTTCATGGGATCTTTTGAACTGAGACACCTGCCGGGTCTGCCTGTTTGGATCCGCATTGGAATTCACTCTGGTACACAGTAGTGTTAGGTCAAAAGTGACAATGATGTTGCCTTGTTTTTGAACAGAATAGACATCCATAGGAGATCTGGTAGTACATCATACGCAACTGCTCCTCTCATGAAGAATAAGGTTGAAAACTATGTACTGGAGGAAGAGCAACAGAAGTAAATAAGTCACTGGTTTGCTCCCCTGTAGTGAAATAGCCCATACTCACTCATTCATAGCTTAAATCAATAGCTAGGAAGGCCAACCACCATCATTCCTGATATAATTAAGCCAGATGTATCAAATAAGCCTTCGCAGATTGCTCCTTCCTGACCAAAGTAGAGATCAGCCATAGCCAGATACACTTGTCTCACCACTAAATGCAGGCTTGTATTTTATGCTTTTGGAGTCAAAAGTTCTGACAAGCCTATGTGGGAAGTCTTGTTTTAATTAATCCATACAAATATTTTTTCTCAAAGGGGAACTGCAGATAGCTCAAGCAGATAGCTCCCAAGTACTTGGGGAAATTGAATCTTTTCATTTTTGTTTCAACAACCACTTGAACACCAGCTGCCAGGGGAGGAACATATCAGTGAAAGCGACTGATACACTGGGAAACCCTTTGAGGCACCACTATGCACCCCTCCATAATGAAGCTTATTTTCTTCTCCTCTTGCTTCCAAAACTGACAGATAGCAACAGTACTTTTTTCTGCACAAAAATTGTCACTAAATACAGTTAACAGTGTGCATCCATGTCCTTTTTATGCTCTTATGGGATGTTGCAAGACGAAAAGAGGCTTGGTTTGAAGTGTAAGGGGAGACCATCAGGTACTTTGGGAAGTGAGGTACAGAGTACTGTCACCAGTGAGGAATGCAGAGCTCCAACAGGTACTGTGCTGCTCTGCAAGAGTGAGACACCTTCCAAACAAATAGTGCCTTGATCCACCTCTTTTTCATTCTCTGCATCCCCTTTCTAGGTCCATGTGCGGCTGGTGTGGTTGGAATAAAAATGCCTCGTTACTGTTTGTTTGGAGATACAGTGAACACAGCTTCACGGATGGAATCCACAGGCTTGCGTAAGGATTTAATTTTAGCTGTCACTGTAACAGGACCAAAGGCTCTTGGTTAGTTTGCGACTGAAGTGTCTGTTTTCAGCTGAGAACAACATCTTATCAGCTTGCAGAAGTTTTAAAGACTAAGAAGCCCTATTTCTTTTGATTGCCAGTTGTTTCACTCTCCTGCTGGGCAATGAAGAATTGTTCCTTGTTCATGCTTCAGTGCTGGTAATGGGAAGTACGTAGGCTGGTTCTCTGGCTGAGTTCCTCTGGAAGATATGATACTTATGTGTCTGGGATTTAATTTTACTCTGTGAATGGTAGATTTTCAGTTCGACCTAGAATTGTACTACAGCTCTGTTGTGTAAATATGCTGACTGTGTATTTTAAGTTGAAGCAATTATGCCTTCAGCTTCACCATTACAGAACTGTGCCAAAAGCCAGTTTGTCTTCCTTCTGCCCACTGTCTTCACATGACTATTCTCTGTATAGGACACTCCCAATTATTCTTTTCCCTTTTGGCATTTAAATACTACAGATACCACAGTCACTTGTATTTCAGATCAATGGCTGTACCAGCTATTCCTCCCTAGATACAGTGCTATGTAGTGGAGTCAGTAATTGGCTCTCATTTAGTTTGACTTTCAGAATTTATGTTTATAATAATTGGAGCAGCTTCTGCTATAGCACTGGTTTTCTCATATACTTAATATGATTATATGCTGCATTTACAGATTGAGCTTTCAGTGTGTCATTATTTTTTAGCTTTAAGGATTCATGTAAGTGGTTCCACTATTAACATCCTGAAAAGAACAGACTGCCAATTCCAGTATGAAGTGAGAGGAGAAACGTACTTGAAGGTAACCTTTACCGTACACACACATGAACACAGAGAAGAGAGACAGTATAAAAGTATGGTACAGCTGAGGGTACCTTGCAGCTTAATTAACTGCTGGGGAACAAGGGTCACAGATCAATTGGTATCACAGTCTTTAGTGGTTGAAGACATTTCTATAAAGACAATGCAGGAAATGAAGAGCTCCCCAAGTCATAAATTAAAACAACATAACGATGTGGAGAATAAAACAAACACACCATTTGTAACAGAAAATTGTGGAGTGAATTATTCTGATGGAAAGGAAGCTGAATCTGTTGTTAATTTGCTCATGCTCTGATATTTGTCTACCTATCAATCCATTTATTTCAGTCTATTACACTTGGCAGATGTCGATATGTGGGAGCTGATGGCCAGCGGCACAGCTCATCTTGTCCATGGCCTGTGTTTCAGGTCATGGAACAAGGGAGCGGATGTGCAGCTGCATCTCCTCCCATCATTCTTCTTGTTACATCTGACTTTTAATCCTTCGCTGTGAGCTTTAGTTATTGAAAACAAGCGAAGGCAAAAACAGCAATGTGCAATTCAGTATTATTTAAGTAAATTAGCTACAGGAAATTGCATTCTAATCCCTAAATTGTGTTTTCTCTTCTTTGTCATACATATTTAGGGCAGAGGAACAGAGATTACCTATTGGTTGACTGGTACTGAGGACAAGAAATACAATCTCCCAACACCTCCTTCTGTGTAAGATGGTTTTTATATGTGAAAAGGGAAGGGAAATTCCAAGTCTTTGTGCTTAGCCTTTACTGTTCCTCCCTGGAACTTGTTGTGGTTTTTTTATACCACTCAACTTGCCTTCAGTAGTTAGAGGCTTAGCAGTGTATGTGCATATAAACATGTAAATATTTATGACATGGGGCTGTATGTGTGCCAAAGGTTATTTTTATATATAAGCACTTAACAGGTTAATTTCTTTGGAAGGGAAATAAGACTTCAAGGACAGGTTGCTGATGTGGTAAGTGCAAAAGATGGACAGAAAAATGAAAAACATTAATATTCCCAAAACTTTAGACCTAACGGCATCTGTGTGTGGCAGTACAGTGAGAGGATAACTGTGACTGAATGTGCAGCTCTCTGTAATACCACATTATGCCTGGGAAGTCTTGTGGAGGAATTTGGAGGAGGAATGGAACTTGAGAATTTTTAGCAGTATTCTGATAGAAGAGGCAGACAAAGTTACTGCAGTATTGCATTGGCATAGAGTCTTTAAAAATTGAATAAAAGGTTCCTTTCTAACACATAAGAGAGAAGTTATCAAGAAGAATTACAACGTTGATGTCCTGGAACAGAGCTATCTTTTTGCATTAGTATTAAATAAAATATAGTAATAGTAGAAGTCTTGTTTTTGAGAAACTATGCAAAATTGAAGTCAGGATAACTGGTTGCATTTATTTAATGTGTATTCTGCATATGAGTACTGCGTTATTTCCTACAAATTCACTAAATCTGGGAGTTCTTCACTTCCTGCTCTAAACTCCTGTGTACTGATCTTTACTAAGTGGGAATTTGCTGCTATCTGCTTTGAAATAACAATTTTTATTGTTATATTATATAAAATTATATTGTTATATTATATAAAGTACAAGTGCTTGCCTCTGGGCTGAGCAGAAAATTACTCTTTTGTAAACTCAGAACTCCTTTTTTGAATTAATATGATCAGTTGAGACTATAAGAATTACTGAATTGGTGTTTCTTCTGGAATTCAACTACTGAAAGTAGCTCTTGAGCTGGATTACTGTGGTCAGTGATGTTTTTGTTTTCACTTCCTCATACAGGCTGTGACTGATAAAATTACCACTTAAAATTGTCATATGTGGGATACTCCATCAAAAGCCAGACACACTGCAGAAATTTATGAAAAAGTGGCAACTCTGTTACTCAAGGCCACATGAAGTTGAGCAGTGGAAATGCTGGCACCAGTAATGGTGTTGAGAGCTAGAATCTATACTGATTTTGAGTTAATCTAATATGTCTTCCTTTTCATGCACATTATGCTGAATCTTTTTAAGGCTGATAATGACACACCTAGAGATCACCTGTACAGAGACAGTGAACCGTACTATCTGGAAAAATCACATGTGAATCCTGAGATCTCTTTTGCCCACACTTTCCACCAGTAGTGTGTGAATGTCATGAAGAGAAACATTGTTAAAAACCACTGGAGATCACTAAAAACATGTGAATCACTGATTTTTTTTTCCATCCTGTCACTTTCAGGGAGAATCAGCAGCGGTTGCAAGACGACTTAGCAGAGATGATAACAAATATTCTTCAGAAGAGGGAAAAGGAAGGGTTCAAGACACGGGAGCTTTCACGAGTACCTAGCTACCGATCAGGTACCCTGGAGTACTTGCAACTGGTCAGCACAGAGAATTCTGCCACGTATCTTTAAAACTGGATGCCTAGTGTGACTAAAAAAGCTGCAGCAACTCCCTGGAGTACTTCACGTGAAGGCTGGAGGCTTATACTTTCAGCTAGAGGAGAAAGAAAAGACCTTTTCGAGCATCTTTTTAAACATCCAACCTGCTATCAGTAAATGAAAGTTCTCTTCACTGTAACGTCAACATTGTCAGATGACTTCAGTGGGAAGTCATCCCACTCCATCCACAGTCATACCAAGCAGCCGGACTGCGGGTAAATGAAAATATCTGCACTTGAGTCTGGAAAATAGTATGGGTTTGGTTTTTGTTAGTTTTTTAAATGCGATAGCCTGTTTAATAATCCACTTCTGAAAACATTCACAGCAAAGCCTTAATTTGTCATGATTTTTAAATGTTGTATTTAATTTGTAATTTTTTTTTGAAGAAAGATTTGTTGTAATATATTTGGAAATAATATTAAACATCTCATATGTAAATTCCAGATATGTTGCCGTTGTGCTGCTTCTGTTGTTTTCCCCTGTGCTTCACATATTTTGTTTAATCAAGTTGACTTTGTTCAAGAGACAACACTTCTGTTATTTACCTTAGGAGATTACTCCAGAAGATCTATTGTTTCTCAAGCTTATCTGAATCTCTTTGGCCTGCAAAATGACACTGGAAATCTTGCAAAAACAGACACTTTCATATCTTTTCTCCACTTCTGCTTCTGTTCCCAACCCAGAAGTGCAAAAGAAATTAAGGAAATAAACTTATTTGAATTTCTTAAACCTCAGAAACTTTCAATTCAACTTTTGGATGAAGTTTCACAGCCAGGCAGAACTGAAGTTTTACTGAAATGACTCGCTCATTAACTGACACCATGACCATTTAAAAACAGCTTTAAAAAGCAACCAAAGCGCAGGTGATGCATGCAAAAGAAAGCCAGCATTCACATGAAGATATAACAACTAGTGAGTGAAATTTTTGCAAAGGCCTCTTGTGCATTGGTGGCTTTCAAAGCAGAGCTACTTCTTTCACCACTGTCAAATATCGGTCAGTATTCAAACCATAAAACCTGGTGCAAAGTCATTCTTTTGTGGTTTTGAACAACATTTCTGTCCAAGTAAACAGCCTAAAAATGTTAAAAAAGAGCAAGCAAGTTGTCTGTGTTTTTCCTTTATCAACCTAAACTGACTTTGTACGAACACACACACACACAAAGGACAACCTAGGTGTAAATAGACACATCTGAAGTGCAAAGATTCCTGGAAAAATTAAATCAGGAGGTGCTGCAGGGTTTATACTCTTGCCTAATGAAAGCAAACTCCTACACGGAGGGACACCATACGGACAGAAATAGCAGATAGTATGTAACCAACCTTGGACTGGTGCTAATACCACATCATTACTTCTTCAATCTGTGTCCTAATGGAAGTGTTCACTGGGATAAGGATAGAAACAAAATGTCTAGTATTCTAAAACTGGTATGTATCAAAAAGACTACCAGTGCAGTAACAAAGTATAGTCTGCTCTTCCGGCCCTGTGGTGCCAGTGAACACGCCTCGTCTCCGTGTCTGCATTCTTGGGCACGACTGCTGTGCTTCTTGGCACCGCTGGACTATTCTGGTTGCTGTATCTGATACGCTCAGCAAGCGTAGCTGTGATGCAGTGACAAGTGCTGGACTCCTCAAGCCTGAAGAAGCCCACTACTACTATCTTAAGCAGAGTAGCTCCGATCTGTGAGTGCCGTAAGTCTATTTTTAAAGAGAGTTTTGTGGGTTCCACCCTTGACATCTCTGAGGTACAAATTATTTTAGAGCAAATATCTGCTGACACTGATTGAGACAATTAATTTAAACAGTGCTTAGTTTTCAGTAGCCCTTCTCTTTCATGCTTTCTTCAATTTAATATTCTTTGAATTTCATATTAATAATATTTCATATTAATATTTCATATTATTTGAAGATAAATAGCTATCTTAGCAATGAGTTGATGGACCTGCCTTCTGGAGGTTTGCTTTCTACATGGTTCTGTCCCTGCACATATCTGTCACCCATACATTACAATACAATAAATTTTGACTGCCCTTTAAAAAATTTCCCCCCTGGTTCCTGGTTTGCTTCGATCTTAGATTCAATGTCTTACTGTTGCATCTTGTTATCAAATGTTAAACATCCCTCTGACATCAGAAATCTGTCACTGAAGATTCAGTCATTCTGAAGGTTCATTCATTCACTTCTCCTGTATTTTTTTAAGCAGTGAAACCTTATTAAAAACATAGTGTGAGATATAATTTTTATCTCCAAATGGAAAGGATTTTGGCTGCATGATCAGCATTCATTTGAACTTAATTCACACACACAAAAACTTCTCTGAATTCCTGTGCTGGGAGTGTGTGGAAGTGAATCTTTCCAAATACACATCAGCTTTGGTCATATTCAGACTCCCTCCTTGCCTCCATCTAATTTTTGTCATGCATCCACACACCCCTCCCATTTCAGCATTGTATGTTTGTGCTCTCTATCCTAGCCTCCAATTCCTGGTGCCAATCACTTGTACACAGAGAATCTTGTTTTAAATACTTTATTTTTTTTCCCTGTGGTAATCCTATGCAGGGAATTATATGGGAAATAGAATTTTGCATTTTACTTCACCAACACAGTCAAACTGAGAGCAGCATGTGACAGCAGTGAATTTCTCATTTGGAATAACCTTTGGAAAATATTCCTCCAAAGCAAACACAGCATCCATTCATGACATTTAGGAGTTATCTTTCACTGGGGAGGGAAAAAAAAGAAGTAACAGCACTGTGTTTTATCCTTCTCTCTTAGTGGAAAGTAGCCGAGAACAAAACAGCAATGGATATGGAAGGATCCCTGCAGCTGGCAGTAGTGTTATAGTGCTCTTAACCTGGGCTTGAGGCCAGCTCTTGCTATTTAGCCTGAACTGGTTGGCATGTGACCTTGTTATATGAAGGTATTGCAGGCACTGGTATCAAATTTGAACTATCTTAAACGATTACCAAAATACAAAGTCTTAATAATGTCTGTTTTAGGACAGTGGTAGAATATTCAGCAAAAGGCGAGAAGAAAAGGCAGTGTCTCAAAATAATCTGAAACACAGGGGCAGGAGAAGGCCCCATGGGAAGTTGTCCTTGTCTGTAAAACCCAAGAAAAGGCTTATTCCTCAGCTTTCCTGCTGGGACACACACAGCTGTTGTTCTCAACAGGGCCAACTATGCTCTTCTGGCATGCTCTTCTGGCGTAAAATGCATAGTTTGGTAAGACATCACCTAACTCCTGTTGCTTTACAGGGGCCTTTACTGCTAAACCTTCACCCCTTTTTGGTTCATCACCCTTGGCAAGTCTAGTGGCCCAGCAGCTGCCAGCCTGGGGGACCTGTGTGGTGTCAAGGCACAACCTCAGCCTAGAGTGAACCCGCATCCTGGCCAGGCTCCACACAAGCTCCGGGGTGAAAAAGATGCCAGGGCCCTGGGCTTGCCGCCCAGCTTGACTTAACACCTTCCCCGGTGCCTTCTGCCATCACCGCCAGCAGCCCA